TCAGAGTGAATATTGTAAAGAAAAATTAAAAAGCTTTCAGATAAAGGTCATTCGTGATCCAACGTGAAGAGCACAACCTGAACGTTTGAGTTCATTCATCTTTTAAAGCTGACCTCTGAATAACTTCAGTTCTAAGGACTGAATTCAGTACTGACTATTCCTTGGACTGAAGTTTGGCAATGATACGGTCCAACTGTGTCTCTGCTTCGCACTGTGGGAAATCGCTCATGTCATAATACTGAGGGGCAATTGTCACCAACCATCCTGGCTTGATATCTATACACATCTGGATGTAATGTTTTGTTGTTAGAACAGACTTATTATAAAGCACCCATTTAGGCTTGTGGTCAAGAAGAGGAGAGGAATGCAACTGAACTACCTGGTTATCTTTCCCAGCTAAATAATGCCCTGTTTGTTCTAAATGTGCTACCTGCATAAAATGCCCAGTAACCAAAGCTTTCCTTATATTAATATATAGTCCCTGCTTGTATAGGCAGTACTCATACAAGGCAAATTAAATCTGTCCATAATTCACGAAAGCCGCTGGTGTACATCGTCTGCGGGACATCAGGGACCGGTAGTTAATGAAGTTGTCATAACACCACTGAACCGATTCACAGCTTTGTTTAAAAGCATGGTAGCCATTCAGCAGTGTCAGGTGATCTCCACCAACGTGGGCAAACCTCTTCGTGGCCTCATCTGCAGCTTTCTTGGCCTCCATGGGGTAAACGGAACAGTGTGGGACTGACAACAAAGCAGTAATCAGCAGGACCTCATTAGAACAGGTGTATCCACAACTTGCAATAACCACTTTGGCGAGCTATGGACCTAGAGAAAACTCTGCCATCACAGACCCCCATACAGACAGATGGCCATCATCATTTAAAGCAGCCAGATAATTCAAAAGTCCTAAGGCTTGCATCAGAGATTCAAGTACTGGTGGGTCCATAAAATCAAAATGCACCAAATCATCAGCATCAAGTTTCTTCAACTGTAATACAAGCTTTCTCTGTGTAAAGTCTGAAGCATTTCCCAGGTCTGGTATGTCCAGCTTGACCAGCCCTTAGTTGAGCTTAAGTTTTACTAATGGCTGTCACCAAAAGGAATTCAACTCTGGTTTGAGGATTATATACCTTTTATTTTGCAAACCCAGGATCAGTCACAAACACCACACCTTCTACTGTCAAAGATGTCTCTGCAATGTCAGGGGACCCAACTACCTTTTTTCCAATTGTGCCATTCTTTTGCAAGGTGGAGGCTTAAAAATACGTTGCTGCTGCTGAAGTGGAAGTATAGAGTACAATGGAATGATTTTAATGTCACCCACTCCAGGGCCTAAATCACCAAGCTCACACTTTATTCGTTTACAGGCTTCATCAATTTCCTCTTGACCAGTTAAGAATAATAGAATATCTCCCTCCTCTTCTTCATACATATGAATTTGGATCACTCTTAGAATGGCTGCCTCAAGATAATCTCTCTCTGGTTCTGCTGTATAAAGGATCTTAACAGGATGTGTACACCCAGGACTAGTTAAGAGAAGACAGTTGTCAAAGTAATCCTGGAATTTTCCTGCATCTAGGGTAGCACTCCTAACTGTAACCTTTAAATCTGTTCTCTGTCTTACAACCTCCTTCGAAACACCCATGAGAATATCCGTAGCCAGCGTCCTTTCATGAACCTCGTAACGCTCCAGAAGGGGATCATTCATGGCTTCGTGGATTAACATTCCATCAGTAATATACTTAAGAATGGTTTTCTGCACTTCTGCAGTCTTCGAATCGAATGGAGTAACCAACTTCCTGGCCCAACGTCGCATCCATCTCATCGGAAACTCTCTGAGCCACATTTCTTGCAGCTACTCACCTGGATTGGGTACAGGCAACTCCTCTTTTGGGTCCTGGTAATGATCTCATGTACTTCACACACCACTGTGGAATCTGTGTTGTTTTACCAGACCCAGTCTCACCAACCAGTTCAAAGGACTGAATCCTAACCAGAATGTCTGTAAATATATTCTTATACCCCCAAATAGGGAACTGAAGTTGCTTCTTTACAATATGATAGTATTGAGGAGTATGGGGTAAATTGGTGAATGGACTAATGCACTGTGGGTCTTATATGCCCAGCATGTGCTGAAGGTGCTGAGTGAATAGAGTGAGCTGAATGAGATGCTTTTAAAGGTGGTAATCCAGCACTGACAGGCATAGTATTAGCTGAACTAGCAATCCCTTCTCCTTTTCTTTGTCCCTCTCTCGCTCTCTAGCTCTTCTATCATGTTCTTGGTCCAGATCTTTAGACCGATCTTCACGATCCCGGTCACGATCTTGATCCTTCCCATCAATCCCTCTCTTGCAATTCTGAAGGTAAAAAATAAAGTGGGCTCTTACCTATCTGGATGATTTGGCTCAGGCATACACAAATCCAAATGATTTAGAGCCAGAGTCCCAAAACCGAATGCCCAGTGCCAGGCAGGTCAGATAGTTAACAAAAACGAGTCAAGTAGGCCGGGCATCATGAGAATTGGAGAGGACATGCCCAAAGAGGGATGTCCAGACAACTCCAGACAACCATCTTCCAATCAAGAGGTCTCTTATAGCAGATCTTCCAAATTTCCAAGGTAAGTTGGAAATCCCACATTTTTTATCAAAGCTCTCAAGGTTTAAACACAGACAACTATTTTTTAATATGTAAACACTGTATAGAACGTGTAAAAGGGTCTATGGGCTGGAGGCTGCCAGTTGATGACCTTGCTTTAGAAGTCTCCGCAGAAATAGAGGCAGAGCAATGTGCTAATGACTCACTGTGCCCACAGACCCATTCCCCCCACAGTCGCTTCCAAAGCAAAAAGCATTCTAAGACCCAGTAAGACCCCTCTGTATAAGGAGGTGCCCATCAATGCAAGTTCTTTGCTAATGACCTTAGTAAGAGAAAACTGAAACACAGAGAAATGAACTCTTTACATGCGGGAACGACTGGTCCAAGAACAATTCGGGTTTGAATAACTGGGATTTCTGAATCACTAACTTCTATAACATTAAAAACAGGAGAGGAAGGAAAAAAGGAAGAAACTAGGCCTAAGTGCAGATTTTAGGATTCTTAAGTATTCTATGATGACAAGATATGGAATCCAGACAGTATTCAAATATTTTTGCAATAAAGACTCGTTAAACTAAGAGAATCTCACTCTTTACAAGTAGGTTGAAGAAACATATTCTGGCAACCTGGAATAATAAGCACAACAACTCCAATCTCCTAAGTCTACTCTGATTAACCATGGCAGCCTGACAATCAAGAAGATTCTGAGGCTGGCCAGTATCCCCTCTGGAAGTCAGCCCATTCCTGCCTCTCACTTTTATTTTCCCCTCCTACTTTGTACTTTCATTTAACCCTGCTGTAAAGTTTTGCTTTTCCACTGTACGTATGTCTCCTGGCTGAATTCTTTCTTCCATGAAGACAAGAACCAAGGTATTTGTCTCCACACTAACAACACTTCAGAGTTCAGGTAGAAAAACCATTGAGTGAACATATGAAATCAAGAGGCTAAGAATTTAATTTAAAAGGCCTTTGTCTGGAATACTCTGACTCTAGAAATAAACTTTGTCTTTAATAAAAGTAATATTAAAAAAGAGAAAGAAAGAAGATTCTGGGGCTGAATTCTGACTCCGAGGAAAAGACAGCTGCTATAACCTAGAAGGGAATGGCAGCAGACACATCTACCAGTGAGAACTTCCTTGACTACTTTATTTTTAAAGGCCACTCACGCATTTTCTCCCTTTCTGTTTCTCTCCCCTAAACCTCCCTTTTGCTTTATATTTTCCAAAACATTTAGAACAATCAGATTCACAAAATATTTTACTTATTGTTCTTTTTCCAGAATGTAATCTCCAGGGGGCTGGGTTTTCAGGCTGTTCTGTTCAGAACTATATGCCTCGAATAGTGTGTCAAACATGTAATGGCACACCAAAAAAAAAAAAAAAAAACAGTGAATAAGTGAACAAAGAGATAATAAAAACTAATGAACTTAGGTTCCAGCATGGGTCTAGTGCCCAATTAAAGAACCTTTATCCTGGCCTCCAAAAGATCTCTAATATTAGTTGTGAAATTATGCTACTCTGCCATTTTACAAAAGTAGAAATGAAGTTATGGAAGAATGGCATCATTTCCTCTAGGCCAGTCAGCATGACAGTGGAAAGCCAGGACCGGAAAGGCCCCAGGGTTCAAATCCAAGACCTGAACTAAGCTCTTTTATAAACAAAACCTGAATTATGATGGCTGAATGTCAGACTTCAGCATTTAAAAAAATTTTTTAAATACCTAAAGGTAAAATTATTTTATAGGAATATCTAGGAAAAAGGAAGGCGGACTCTTTAGATGACTTTTTTCTTGAAATTTTTTTATAGCCTCTCCTTATTAAATCATTAATTTAATAAGGAACATTAATAAGTTTCTGTGGATGAGAGAGAATGTTCCACAGCAGTGAAAGGAAAAACACATCCAGTTCTTCATGAGAAACTTTGGAGTAAGTTAATATTCATCCTCTGAAAAAATTCAGAATAATTCTCTCAGAAAGCCTGAAATTAAAAGAATGCCTAGCAAAACAATAAAGACATTACAAAACAGTGTCAACTGCCTCTAATCTAATTCTGACACAAAATCACAATGCAAAATAAACTAATAAAGACAGGTGCATCTTCACTTGAGTCTTTTTCCATGAACAATTTCAAACTAGACAAAATGAAAACTGTCAAGTGAATAAAGGATTTTTAAAGCAAAAAAGATCCCATGGATCAGGGACCCCAGAACTGCTCAAATGTCAGTCAAAATGTTGTCTTAATCATGAGGTCCCCAGCCCAGGAACTGCGGCCAGGGGCAGTTATAGGAGATTCAAACTGCACAAGAAAATGCTCAGGCACTTGCAGTGAAATGACAAATTGTAAGTGTGACATTTCAAATAACCTGCCCCCAAAACACAACCATTTCCTTTCGACACTACTTACAAACTCATAGTCTCCATCCTGCGGTACTTTCCAATCTGAAACATTTTTCAGAGGGCCAGGGACACTCTTGCCAAAGCTGTTGACCTGGTTTTCCTTTTCTTTTTGTTCGAAGTATTCAAGGAAAGATGGCTTTGCTGGCTGCATGGTCTCATCCCTTCCTGAAAACCCAGAAAATAAAAGGTGAAGAGGAATGTTCTTTATTTTAGATGAGTTTAATAAACAGATCTATTTCCAGATGAGTTGCAGTCCCTGGGTCAGTGGGTATTTTTGTGAGATAACAACTACTTCAAGAACTTAATGAACTCATAGAAAAATGTGCAAATGTTCATTCAAAATATTTTTCCTAAGAATTTCTGGGGATTCAAGGGACCCTTAAAATATATGCAAAATTTCCCCAGGATCCTTTTTTTCTGGATTAAAAAATGGGTGATACAATGACTCTGACAAAGCTACGAATAATATACTTTAAGGCTCCTACACCAAATGGTTCCTGTCATATTTAGACAAAAAAAAAAAACAAAAATCAAACAAAAAACATTTATCCTGTATCTACCCTGTACGGTATTTTCAGTAAGCACTGGAGTAGGGAGGAGGGATGACACAGTAGGGTCACTCCCCTTGAATTTCATGATCTTGTTGAAATAATGAGAAAAATGTGCATGAAAAAGTAAATCACAATCCACCCACTACATGAAGTATTATGTGACATTTAAAATACATTTATAGTGGTTTATTGCAAAATTAGAAATTAAATCTTTAAAAAAGGAATGAAATACTAAAGATAAAATTTTTGTGATCTATTTCTTTTTTGTTAATTTTTATCATTATTATCATCATTTTAAATTTTGCTACAGGGCACATTTGCTCACTAGAGAGAGAGACAGAGAGATAAAGAGAATGAGGGAAAGTGAGAAAACAAGCCCCTAGATCTAGGAGTTGAACTGTGGTCAGCCATGTGGGAATCCAGTGCCTTAACCACCATGTCGCCTGCTGGCTCTGTAATCTATTTCTTAACTATGCTCTAATAATCCAAGGGATGGTCCCAGCTGTGGTGGCACAGTGATAGCTGATGAATTCAGTTTATATGGATGAGATAATATTCCTATTCTGACCAACATCTCCTTAATGAGACTGTAATTAAATTGTAGCAATGGTAGTTCTGTTTGTAAATTTTTGAGGGACCTCCACATTGTTTTCCATATTGGCTGTACTCCTTGATATTTTACCCAAAGGACAGAGAAACACTGAGAAAGACACTTGCACACCCATGTTTACTGCAGCATTTATTCATAACAGCTAACGCATGGAATCAACCTAAGTGCCCAACAACTGACGAATGAATTTAAAAAACGTGGCACATAGACTCCATGGAATATTATTCAACCATAAAGAACAGCAAGACTCTGTCATTTAATATAGAAGATTTATTGCTAAGCAAAGTAAATCAGACTCTGAAATAGAAACACTGCAGGAACCAGCAGATGGCATAATGGTTACATTGCTGGACTCCCATATAGTTGACTGTGGTTCAAGTTCCCGACCCAGTGGCTAAAAACTCATACCAAGCACATGTGTGTGAGTGCCCAACATCCCAAGAGGAGAATAGAGGAGAAGAGACTGTAGCATGGCCCTTCCCCCTGGGGTGGGAGGAATGAGTTCTTATTTCTATCTCTCTGTCTCTGTCTCTGCCTCTCTGGTGACCACACACACCCTATAGTAAAATTCTCTCTCAAAAAAAAAAAAAAAAAAAAGAAAAGAAATATAAACACTGTATATCCCCACTCAATATACCCTGAGTGTCTACACTCTATGGCAGAAATTGAAAGATTCAAAGACAGGGGACAAGTAATGGTATAGGGGACAAGTGTTGACAGCAGAGACTGGGTGGGGGATGAATAGTGTACAGTGGGTGGGAGGGGCTTGGGAAAAAAGCACTTAACAGTCACAAGACTATAAGGTTCTTTGTTGAAAATGATGCATATGGTAATATTTGTGATTTGATTATTATATACTACATATATATATTGAAAAACCATATTGTATGCCGTAAAGATGTATAACTATTACATGTAAATAAGAAATTTTTAAAAATTGTAACAACATTCTCAGCCTCATAAACTATTTCTCAATAAATGGATTCACATTCCTATCACAATTAATACCTAGCTGTTTTCAAATATGGCCACAATAATTTGTTTCTGGTTTCCTCGTCCTTAAGCTGCTCTCCCACAATGACTCTGGGTCTCGCCATCTAACTTGCTTCGGTCACTGAGACAATAGCAGATAACAAGCCCTGAAAATTCTTTTCTCAAAATTGTGTTCTACTATAATGCAAATTAATCTAAGAGCCTGCTGGATAGTGAAATACCAAGCAGAGAGGGGCCCCAGCTGCTACTGCACCAGCTGACTACAGAGCAGAGCTAACCAGCCCAGACCAGAAGAACTGCCTAGCTGAGCCTGACCTAATTGCCAACCTACAGATAGCATCATGAATAGCCACTGAATTTTGAGGTGGCGTGTTACACAGCAAAAGCTAACTGCAGAGGCCTAGCCATGATGGCACACCTATAGAGCCACCACTTGAGAGGCTGAAAACTGCATGGGAGGCTTGGAATCAGATCCCAGGTCAAAATGAACACACCCAGTACAATTACATACCTCTGTAATCTAGCTAATTAGGAGCCTGAGACAGGAAGATTGCAACATGGCAAGATCCCATTGAAAATAACTATCTCTGTTTTTCTTTCTTTCCCTCCTCCCCTCTCTCTACCCCTCATAAAGGAAAAGCCAACTAATACAGTGTCAAATGTCTCTCTCTCTCCCTCATTTATACACACCACCCTATTTCTACAGTAAGAGTGCCATTCTTTTTTTTTTTTTTTTTTTGGAGAGGTTTTCACTATAGGGCGCGTGCACTCACCAGAGAGACAGAAAGCGAGAAATCACCCTCCAGGGGGGATGGTCACGCTGCAATCCCTTCTCCTCCATTCTCCTCTCGGGATCTTGGGCATGCACACACACGGGCCCGGTGTGAGTTTTAAGCCACCGGGTCCGGGACGCGAACCACAGGCGACTACATGGGACTCCAGCGACATAGCCATTATGCCAACTGCTGGTTCCCAAGAGTGCCATTCTTTGTGAACTCGGGTTCAAATTCAACTAACATCTCCTAAAAACCTTCAAAATTTCACACTTTCACATGACACTCTCATCCCAGCTTCCTGACCACCATAAAAGTAGGTGAGGAAGAGAGTTTGTCCTTAATGGGCACTGACCAAGTGACAATGTATTGGGCTGTCGCAAAATTCATGAGGATTTTTTCTATGGTCTTCTATGCAAAAATGTGTCATGACTTTTTCGACAACCCAATACTATTTAATCCTCAAAGACACCTTTGAGGTATATATTATTTCTCTCAAATTTATTCTTTATAGGCACTAAATTTGCCTAAGATTTCAGAGCTAGTAACCAACAAGGATAGGACCTGAATGCCACTTGTCAGGTTTTAAGTCTGGGGAGCTGCATCTCATATTGTAAATTCTCTAAGATGAAAATAAAGATTCTTGACATGTTCGAAGCGCCATTATTTTCTGCAGAGAGAGCAGGGGAATGGAATTTTCCCAGTAACCTTATCTATGAACTTTCCTTTCAGCAGCCCTCAGTTAGATGATCAAGTGTGCTGGACAGTGGCCTGACAGTGCCGAGAAGCATAAGGGAATCATTCTAAGCTGATTAAAGGCCGTGCTGTCTCCGGGGCTTCAGCTGGCTGGAGAGGCTTTCTGTTTCAACTTGAGCTAGAGTATTTTTTCAGATGTATCCCAGGAAATGAAGACATCCAGCTGAATGATAATACAAGAAACCTGAAGCCATGAGGAGAAAGGCCTGAGCAGAGAAAGCAAGCCTTGAAAGGAGCCACATCTTGCTCTGACCCCTTTATCTCAATTACGTGAACTCCTTACCATCACTGGTCTGTTTTTCTCTGTAAGCAGCACCTGTCAAGGAAATGGACACTCTGTCTGAAGCCACAGACAAAGGAGGGAATTCATAAGCAACTGGAACTTCTGTTCATTTCTTCTCGAAAAACACTATATAAAAGCCAGGACACACCAACCCAAATGCCCATCACCTCGTCAACAGATAAATAAAACGTGCTCTCTCTCTAATGGAATATCACTCAACAAAAAAGGAAATGAAATATTGATTTTTCTACAACATAGACAAACCTGGAAAACATCATTTAAAGATATTTCAAGGGGAACAGCAGGTGGCATGGTGGTTAAGGTGCTGGACACTCCCACATGGCTGACCATGGTTTGGGTCCTGGACCTGGTGGCTTGCTTTCTCACTTTCTTTCTCTCTCTGTCTCTCTCTGGTCAAGTTAAAATGAATGAATGGATGAATAAAATTTAAAAAAAAAATAATTCTTGAAAAAAAATACTTCAAAAAGTCTGTGGAAAAACAATTAAAATATGACTTTATTTTGATGCCCAAAATTCTTGAAGTCTATGCATAGTTTTCTCATTAATGCACATTTTACATGGACTTTTGTTTGTTTTGTTTTGGTTTTGCTAGGGGGCACATGCACTCCCCAGGAAGAGAGAGGGAGAGAGTGAGAAATCACCCCCGTGGGGTGATGGCCAAGCCGTAATCCCTTCTCCTCCATTCTCCTCTCAGGATTTTGAGACACATGCCTGATGTGACGTTCAAGCCGCTGGGTCCAGGCCTTGAACAGTGAAGTGAGCCATTGGGATCCAGTGCCTTTTCCACTACGCCACCAGCTGGCCCTACATGGACTTTCTGAAGACCTCTTTGTACAAATGAAAGGAGCCAGGCTCAAAAGGCCATTGACATAAAAGGTCCAGATTAGGCAAATGTGTGGAATCAGAAGGGAGACTGAGGGCTGCCTGGGGAGGAAAGGGGAATGGGAAGCGATGCTAACAGAAGCAGGGTTTCTTTGGAGGATCTCAAAATTCTGGAGTTCAGTAGTGGTTATGGTTGCAATACCTTGTTACTACAATAAAAACACAATGAATTGTATGCTTTAAAACAGTGACTTTTCTGCTCAAGTAAAAAGCGACAAAACATTTAAAATCAGATTGTGGTTGAGGGAATTTAATACAACCAAATTATATACTTTCAGTAAATTGTAGTATGTGAA